ATGTTTATAAAAGAATATCTATGGCGCAATAGCATCCAAAACAATAGAATATGTAGGAATAAATTTAGCCAAGGGGATGAAAGAGCTCTCTACTGGGAACTATAAGACATTGATAAAAGAAATCAAAGAAGACATAAATAAATGGAAAGGTAGCCGGTGTTCATGGATTGGAAGAAGTAGTATTGTTAAAATGTCCATACTACCCAAAGCCATCTAGAAATTCAGTGCAAAAATCAAGATTCCAAAGGCATTTTTCACAGAAGTAGAAAAAACAATCCTAAAATTTACATGGAACCACAAAAAACTCTGAATAGGCAAAGCAATCCTGAGAAAGAAGAACAAAGTGGGAGGCAACTCCCTTCCTGATTTTCAGCTATGTTATAAAGCTATAGTAATCAAAAGAGTATGGTACTGGCATAAAACAGACACAGACCAATGCAACAGAACTGCGAGCTCAGAAATAAAGCCACATATATGGTCAACTAATATTTGACAGGGGAGCCAAGAATGCTCAATGTAACAAACACAGTTGTTTTAATAACTGGTGCTGGGATAATTGGATATTCACATATAAAAGAATGAAACTAGACCCACTTCTTACGCTGCTCACAAAAATTAACTCTAACTGGACTAAAGACTTAAATGTAAGGCTGGAAACCATAAAACCCCTAGAAGAAAGCATAGCGAAAAAAGCTCCTTGACATGGGTCTTGGTAATGACTTTTTTTAAATGAATATAACACCTAAAGCACAAACAACAAAATAAAAAATAAACAAGTGTAATTCCATCCAATTAAAAAGCTTCTGCACAGCAAAAGAAACAATCCACAAAGTGAAAAGATAACCTATGCAATGGGAAAAATATTTGCCAACTATACATCTGATAAGAGGTTAATGTCCAAATTATGTAAAGAACTCACACAACTCAATAGCCAAAACCCAAATAATCCAATTAAAAAATGGGCAAAGGACCCAAATAAACATCTTTCCAAAGAAGATATACAAATGGCCAACAAGGACATGAAAAGATGCTACACATCATGAATCATTAGGAAAATGTATATCAAAACCACAATGAGATATCACCTCATGCCTGTTAAAATGGCTAGCATCAAAAAGACAAGAGATAACAAATGCTGGCAAGGTTGTGGAGAAAAGGGATCCCTGGTGCACTGTTGGTGGAACTGTAACCTGGTGCAGCCATTATGGAAAACAGTGTGGAGAAAAATAAAATAGAACTACCATATGATCCAGCAATTCCACTTCTGGAACTATATCTGAAGGAAATTAAAACATTATGGGAAAGAGATACTTGTGCCCCCATGTTCACAGCAGCACTATTTATAATAGCCAAGACATGGAAATAACCTAAGTGACCATCGATGGATAAATGGATAAGGAAGTCGTGATGCACACACATACAGACACACAGAAACACAGTGGAATATCATTCAGTCCCTGAAACAAAGAAATCTTGCCATTTGTGACAACATGGATGGCCCCTGAATGCATTGTGCTAAGTGAGATAAATCAGGTAGAGAAAGACAAATTCTCTATGAGCTCATTTGTATGCAGAATCTTAAAAACTCACAGATGCTCAATATCACTCATTATTAGAGAAATGCAGATAAAAGCTACACCAGTCAGAATGGCTATCATTAAAAAGTCTACAAATAACAAATGCTGGAGAGGGTGTAAAGAAAAAAGGAAATCTCCTACTCTGTTGGTGGGAATGTAAATTGGTGCAGCCACTATGGAAGGTACTATGGAGGTTCCTTAAAAAACTAAAAATAGACTTACCATGTGATCTTGCAATCCCACTTCTGGGCACATATCTGGTGAAAACTCTAACTCAAAAAGACACATGCACCCCAATGTTCATAGCAGCACTATTTACAATAGCCAGGACATGGAAGCAACCTAAGTGTCCATCAACAGATGACTGGATAAAGAAGATGTGGTATAAATATACAATGGACTATTACTCAGCCATGAAAAGAAAGAAACAATGCCATTTATAGCAATATGGATGAACCTAGAGATTATCATATTAATTGAAGTAAGTCAGACAGAGAAAAACAAGTATCATATGATCACTTATATGTGGAATCTTAAAAAAAAAGACACAAATGAACTTATTTATAAACCAGAAATAGATTCACAGACATAGAAAACAAACTATAGTTACCAAAGGGGAAAGAGGTGGAAAGGAGGGATAAATTAGGAGATTGGGATTAACGTATACACACTACTATATCTAGATAGATAGATAAACAACAAGGACCTATTATATAGAATAGGTAGCTATATTCAATATCTTGTAATAACCTGTAATAGGAAAGAATCTGGAAAAGAATATATACATAGTAACTGAATCACTTTGCTGTACACTTGAAACTAATATAACATTGTAAATCAACTATACTTCAATAAAAATAAATTAATTAATTAAAAAACTCATAGATAAAGAGATCAGATTTGTGGTTACAGTAGGTGGGGGAGTGGGGGAGGGGAAATTGGATTAAGGCAGTCAAAAGGTGCATAACTTTCAGTTATACAATAAATAAGTACTAGGGATATAATGTACCACATGATTCATGTAATTAACGCTGCTCTATATTACATATGAAAGCTGTTGAGAGAGTGAAACCTAAGAGTTCTCACTACATGGAAAAAACATTTTTTTCTATCTACATGAGTTGATGGATGTTAACTTACTGTGATAATCATTTCACAATCAATGTCAACTCATGTTGCACACTTAAACTTTCTACAGCACTGTATGTCTAAATAAATCTGGAAAAATAAAATATCTGTGGGGTATTTGGAGATAATCAGAGACCAGATGGTGCTTGATGGTTCCTGCTGAATCATCTTACCAGAAACCAACAGAGATCAGCTCTGAATGTCTGTTTTCATGTTTTCTATGATAAACTGAATTATATGAAGGGCCGTGCAAACCGTGATACGCTGCTCTGTCTGCTTTGCTTGGTTTCTCCTTTTATGTGCACACCTGACTCCCTAACGAGATTGTAAACTCACCAGGACAGAAACTGTGTCTTCATTTTACTGGTATCCCCAAAGTCCAACAAAACGTCTGGGTACTAGCAGGTGCTCAGAAATGTTGTAGATGATCATGAGGGTGAGGCTTAAGGACTGTGGTCTGAAATCCCATGGGAGTTGACACTGTGCCCCAGGAGCCAGGGCAGAGGCCAGCGGAGTGTGACCTGGAAATAGAGCCCGCCTGTGCTTTCAGAGGAGTCCATCGGAAGCCCTTCTCCCGTCTGCTCCGTTCTTGAGACCAACACAAGCAGCAGCCTCTCCGCCACCTGTCAGTGAACCACCGCCAGGGTGTAATTGTACCGGATGTTGTGAGAGGAAGCCTGAGCTAAATGAGGCCCTGGCAGAGTCAGAGGGGCCAACAGTGCCTTTTCTTACCTGTTAATGGAGCCTCATTAGGAACAGCAAGAAACCATGCTGCGACCTGGAAGCCCCCAGTCTGCCTTCGCTCTCCCTGCCAAAGGATGATTAACTTTAATGATTTACGGCAGCTGCTCTTTGAGGTTAGGGAGCGGAGGAGACCGTGTGTGTGCAGCCCAGCACAGCGTGCTGGCTGGTGGAAACTCAGGAGGGAGTACAAATCCATTCTCCCCTTCCTCTGATGGCTGAGACAGCTTCCAGATTCTGGAAAATGCACAGCCATTCATGCACACAAGTACCTCCTCCTGACGGCTGACCTTTGGGGGGCCCTCCAGCTGTGTTTAGGTTAGGGATTTAGGTCTTGACTCGGGGGTAAAAAATTCATTGTAACAAGTAAGAAAAAAGAAACAGACCTCGGTAAACAGGACATTCAATATAGCTGGGCCAGCCCACACTCTTCTGGGGAGGCCCTGGTACCCAGTGATTCAACCCTGGGCAACCCTGGGGTGTGCAGCTATGGAGGGGATTGGTGCTTTGCTGAAAAGTAGCATTAGGTGGTGTCTTGACTATTTCTGTGCCTCAAACACCAAATGGAATGATGTAAAGGTGCCGTGCAAACTGCAAATAGCTTTCCTGCCCACGAGGCTTATTGATACAATTCCTTTGAACCTGGAAGCCAAATAGGAAAACCAGTTGGAGCAGCTTCAACCAGGAGACCTCATATCTTGACTTGCTTCTCTTTCCAGCTTTCTTAAGGATAAATAAGATTTCTTTTGTTTGTATCAGCCTTAGCTATCTGGAAGCCCTGGTATTGGGAGGAGGGTGTCTTTGAATGTGCCCGTATTGGACACAGCATCGTGTCTGCATTAGCAGCTTATGTGAAGACAGAGACTCAGCTTGGCTATTTTGGTCCGTAATTCTGCGTGACAGGTGGACTGACAGAAGCTCCAGGGAAGAATTAAAAAATGAAGTCTGGGCTGGGTGTGCGTGTGGCTTTGGAGGCACTGAGAGCCTGTGCTAGGACACAGGTGGTGGTTTCAGTTTTAATCAGAAGGCAGGGAGGTCTTGCCTGAGTAGGTGGCAGATTCATGAACTATATTTGGCTGGCCAGGGCCCTGAGAGGGCTGGGGAAGGACCGTGGAAGAAAATTCTGAGTCTGCAAGTGTAGGCAACCACAATCTAATTCACTCCCAACAGATTTCAACTGAAGTTCCCTTTAAACAGATTGAGAGGTGCTGTGCCGACAGCTAGACGTGCGTGTCTGCACGTAATTACCCCGCAGAGCGTGTTAACGACGTCTCAATGCTCTGTGATGCCTGAGGTTGCGGTACAGGTGATAAAGCACCAGTGCCAACCCCCCTTTCAGCAAGATCATTGTCTTTGCCCCCATAGGGGCAAACTTGCTTGCCACGAGCACAACTCTTCCCCAAGAGCAGCTGACCCTTGGGTGACGACGAGGCAGATGGCGTCATGCTTAAGGACCCTTCCAGACGCCTTTAAGAATGGCCCCATGAGGAAAGGCCAGGCGGGCAAAGTGATACCCATCTCCAACTGATAGCAAGTTGAACGAGGTGGGCAGGCTGGAAGTTGCACACAAGCGTTTATTTGGAGAGGCACGAGGGAAGTTGCTCAAGCTATAAACTTCGAGTTAAGGCAGCAGGACCCTCTCCATTTCCAGGAAGCTCTTCAGCTCAAGGTGAATCAACAGGGAAATCCAGCAGGGAATCTAGCTCAGGGTGGGGGTGGGGAGGGTGAGGGGAGATGGGGGTAGGGTGTCAGGGTGGGGTGGGGACTCCTCAAGGAACTTCATCAGTCGTGTGGTGCAGAAGGCAGCATTTTCTTCATGAAAAGAGGATGTTTCTCCGTTAGCTGAAACAAACAAAATCCAAAAAAGACATTTGAATGAGAGAACCATGGATGATGAAAATTAGTAAAGACATCACAGTAGGGTTTTAAGAAAGGCGGGTGTCTCATGGAAAGAATTTGGCCTTTGGAACAAGACAGTTTGGGTTTCAAATGCCTGCTCTGTGGTTATTAGCTGTGTGACCTTGGGCAAATGACTTCAGCTCTCTGAGGGTACTTTCCTGTCTGTAAAATGGGGGTAATGATGTAGTTCTGGCAGGGTTTTGAGGAGAAACAAAGGTCACAAAGAGCTTATGACTGCGCTGGCACAGAGCAGGCACTCACTAAATGGAGTTCTTATATTTTTGAAGTAAATTCAGCCTACCTTGTTACTTTTGTATCTGTTTAATATGACTTGGTATATTCAGATATTCATAGGCATCTGAAAAAATTAGCTTTGTTACACACATCTAGCTTTTATAATCAACAGAAATCAATCCAGTAAAAAGACAACTGGAAAGGAGCTGGATGACGTGTTTTTCATTCAGAAGGAGCGAAAGTTAGGTTGCTTCCATGTGGCCCTCCTGCCTTCTGAGGAAGGGATGACCAGAGCACATCGCAGAGCCAGGAGAGCTGGGCTCTGGTCCGGCACTGTCTCCACCTCCCCCATGATCACGGGCAAGTCCTTTCCTGCTCTGGCCTTTTTATTCTCTCCGGAATCATAGGAGG